GATTAAGTGGTGACAATAAATAGGATTGGGGTCATGCATATCCTATCTCCAGCTTTGGGTATTATGGATGTTCTAAGCACGTGTTAGACGATGCAGGCATTTTGGGTTAAGGATTGGACAAGAGATTGATGTTGGTTCAAAACAACATTTCTAAGAACCAAATTAATGGAACTTTAGTATAACTCATTTGTTTTGAAAGAGTGGGATCAAGGTACTTTAGTAGAAATCCTGATATATTGAGCGAGGTCTACTTTGGTGATTTCTATATTTTGACAGCAAACAATGGAAGTGAGGGTCAGGTTATCTATGTTTCTCCTCAGTTTGCCATGGAAATCATAGAGGAGCTCAGAATTGAACAAAAAGGCCAGGCTGGGAAGAAATTAGAAGGTAGTTGAAGTAAAGCGGCTCATCACCTCAAAGTTAAGGGCAGCTTGATTTAGCATGAAAGGAGTGATATTGCATGATATGAATTTATGGTACATATCCTCATCCTTAGCAGACAAAAAGTGATCTTCGTGATGATGAAAGGAAGAGGAGCTTCCTAGTACGATTCATCCTCATTTTCTTTAGCTCGCCATTGAGTGGAAACAAGTGAAGACATGTGTTGTGAGGAGAGGTTGTGTGAAATGAGCTTATATCCACCCTTATTTATAGAAATTTTGACTGTTCATACTGTACGATCGAGTATCGTATAATATGATCAATCAATTATTTTGTCTGGATGATTGGTTTGGAAAAGGTGGTCAAATCATACACTATAATTCATATCGTACAGTACGATATGAAGGAATTACATTCATCCCGAGGAGTCATCAGTACAATATTTGATGAAAAGTATCATTCAATATAAATGGGTATTTATATAGTACGAAGGGAAATAATATCGTACTTACCAAGTTTAATTCATCCCAATCTATTTATATGTGTGGATCGTATAATACAAAATAGATATATTGTATAATATGAAAGACAATTATATCGTACCAAATGATTTGAATGCATGGCCACGTGTATCGTATAGTTTGAAGGGAATCTTATAGAATGATAGGTAGATTAGAAATTGAATCTGGAGTATTGGTTGAATAGAGAAATGTGATATGTACATTTTATATAGATCGTACAATATGAAGGTTAATCGTACAGTTTGATGGCTATAGACAGTGAGGTGAGGGTGTGACGATCAGGAAACATCTTAGACACGCTTTTTTTTATTTATTTATTTTTTGGATCATGCAAGAATATTTATGACACCTAGTTTTGTCCTCAAGGTGCTAGAGCTGTCATAGGCTAGTGGTTTCATGAATGTCTGCCAATTGATCTCCTAAAGCTATATGGTGTAATTTTATGTCTCATTTAGCTACATGATCTCTTATGAAATGATTTCCATTGTCTATATAATATTTTCGAGAGTGTTGAATTGGATCTCTAGATATGCAAATTGCACTGGTGTTGTCACACATATTTGGGATGATTCCTACGAGTAATCCAAGATCTAGAAGTTATTATTTCAACCATAACACTTATACAACACAACTTCCTTTTGCTATATATTCTGCCTCGGCCATGGAAAGGGCTACTAAATTTTTCTTCCTACCAGACCAAGAAACTAAGGATTGTCCTATGATTTGATAGGTTCCAAAGGTGATTTTTCTATCTACCCTACATCTTGCAAAATCAGAATCTGAGTATTCTAAGATTTCAAAGGAGGTGTTGTGCCTAAGATACTAAATTCTTAAGTTTGGGGAGCCTAGTAGATATTTTAGGATTCTCGTGAATGTCGTCAAGTGAGACTCCTTAGGTCATCTTGAAATCAGGCACAAAGGCACAAACTAAATATTATGTCTGGTCTATTGGTAGTTAAATAGAGGATAGATTAAATTATACCTCAGTATTTTTTCTAATATACTGGCTTTCTATTCAGGACTTTATCTAGTTGAATAATAGAACTTACATGAGTGTTCGAATATCCTTGATATATTTGGTTTGGCTAAGGAACATTTCATCTTCCATCTATTTTACACTAAACCCAATAAAATAATTCTGCACTCCCATCATGCTCATTTCAAACTCATTACTCGCTATTTTTGATAATTCATCACACAAGATTTTATCTGAAGATCCAAATAGAATGTCATTTACATAAATCTGATCAATGAGAATTTTATCTTTTACTCTTTGCAGAAAGAAGATAGTGTCTACACGACCTTTAATAAATCTAACTAGTAATAATAAGCTAAGTCTTTCATATCAGACTCTAGGTGCTTGCTTTAACCCATATAATACATTTTTAATTTAAATACATGATTCAGAAATTGTGAGTTTTAAAATCTAGGGGCTGCTCAAAACAAACAACCTATTTGATTACCCTATTTAGAAAAACACTCTTCACGTCCATTTGATATAATTTAAAACTATTGAAGCAAGCAAAGGCTAAGAGCACCCTTATAGCTTCAAGTCTGGCTACTGGGGCAAAGTTTTGTTTAAATTCTATGCCCTCAATCTGCTTATACCCTTTAGCTACTAGTCTGCCCTTATTTCAAACTATGGTTCCTTAGTGATTCACCTTATTTTTTAAGACCCACTTTATTCCCACTACACTTTGCTCTTTAGGTCTTTTGACTAATTCTCATACATCATTCCTAGTAAATTGGTTTAATTCTTTTTGCATTGCTAGGATTCAGAATTCATCACCAAAAGCTTGATCTATAATCATGGGTTCTATCATAGAGATAAATGCAGAATGATTAACCTCCTTCCTAGGTCCATGCCTAGTTCTGACACCTTCTGATGGGCCTCTTAAGATTAATTCTTTAGGATGACTAGAAGAATATATCCAATCTATATGCAAGGCTGCCTGAGGTTCTCCCCTTTCTCCTATGGTCATAATTTCTACTCACTGAATGGCCTCTACCTCATCTTCTTCAAATTTAGGTTTAGAGGACTTATCTGATTCATCAAATACTACATGGGTGGACTCTTCTACTACTAGGGTTCTCTTATTATAGATTCTATAAGCCTTGCCTACAGATGAATAACTTAAGAAGACACCCTCGTCTGCCTTGGGATCAAATTTTCTTAAGGGAGATTTTCCACTGATTAAGATAAAACATTCACAACCAAAGACATGCAAGTGTAAAAGATTTGGTGTTTGACCCTTAAGGAGTTCATAGTTTATTTTATTCAACTTCAACCTAATATTCACCCTATTTAAGATGTAACATGCAGTGCTCACCACTTCTGCCCAAAAATATCTAGGAAGAGTGTACTCAGCTAACATTACCCTAGCAGCTTCTACTAAGGTTCTATTTTTCTCTCAGCTATCCCATTTTATTGAGGGGTTTTAGGGGTAGAGAAGTTATTCTCTATTCATATCTCTTGATAGAAGGATTTAAAATTTTCATTTTGAAATTATCTATCATGATCAGTATGGATTGTTGAGATTTCGCATCCAAATTTCCATTGGATCTAAGTAGAGAAAGTTCTAAATTCCTCAAGTTTCTCATTCTTATGTGCTAGGAATCTTACTCAAGTGAATCTAGAGAAGTCATCTACAATCACATATCCATAATTTTTCCCACCTAGGTTAGCTATGCTAACAGGACCAAATAAGTCCATGTGAAGGATTTGTAGTTCCTAGATGTATTCACATCCTTGATTGAATGAAATGATGATTTTACTTATTTCTTAGTTGGCAAGAATCATAGAGATGGTCTTTGGTGAAGTCTAACTTAGGTACACCTCTAACTAGATTTTTCTGAATGATATTCCTAAGTGTTTTCATGCTAGCATGACATAGTCTCATATGCCATAGCCAAGAGTCATCCATTATTATTTTTAAACATAGTGAGTTTGAATTTTCAATACAGTTAAGATCTAACATTTAAATATTATTTATTCATTTTTCTTCTAATACATGTTTATCATTTAAGCTAATCAAGCATTTATTAGAGAGAAATTTTATGTTAAATCCTTTGTCACATAATTGACTAATGCTTAACAATTATGCTTTAAACTATTGAGTAATAAAATATTTTAAATTAAAAGGTTCTTAAAAATTCTAACAATATATTTGAGCCCACCAATTTCTTGGTGGTGCTATCTCCTAAAGTCACTTTGCTTCCAGTCCTGGTCTCAAGTGTAATGAACTTCTTCATGTCTCCAGGTATATGTCACAAGCAACCACTGTTTATCCTCTCACTAGTTCTTTCATGAGATCACCACTATAAAGTCATTCAATGGTTAGATTTAGGAACCCAAGTGCGTTTTGGTTCCTCCTTATACTTGCATAATGAGATGTATGCATGTTATACTTTGATGAAAGTAATTTAGGCCTTCATACTAGGTGTGTCCTACAGTGAATCATGTAATTACTGGCTATGTAGCCTAGCATGCCATAAGAGAAGCACCTAACACCAGGAAATGGGTTCAATAACCTATATGGGTGGTGATGTCTCTTCTTAAAGTTGAGTGATGTATGCAATGCCGAGGGTTTGCTTAGTTGGCCTAATGGAGATTATGGTTTATCATTTTCAAGTGCTGTAAGTTTTGCTTTCAACGTTATATTTTCATATTCATAAGCTTTCACTTCAACTTTTAACCTATAATCATTATTATCTATTTCCCATACTAGTTCATCTAATTTCTTAAACTCTTTTTCTAATTCTTTTTTTTTTTATTGAAACCCACAGAGGGGCTTACGCGTTTATAGAAACAGGTTTACAACAAGTCCTTCAAGGTACTATAAGCTCAACTAGAAAAAATGAAATACAATCAAAGAAAAGAAAAACCCTAGAGAGCCACAAGTCCCAATCTAGTTTCAAAAACAAAAGACAGAAAAAAAGCAAACTAAATAGCAGCCAGAAGACTAATAAAACCAACACTTGATTCTTCTAAACTTCATTCTTCACTTGACAAAATCTCCAAACTTCATTCTTCACTCTTCATTCTTCTATACTTTTGTCTCCCAATTTGAATCCACATCCGAAGAAATAATTTCTGCTCTATTCCTGTTCACAGCCTGCAATAAAAGATAATAAAAAAAAACTGCACCAGCAGCCAATTAAATCATTCAAAAAAATATCTACTATCAACCTAAAATGATTAATCACATAATTGGGTATAGAAACCCCTCAATACCAGCAGTCAAGACAACACTACCCAGTCCTAACTGAGCACAAAAGGGATTTCCATAATTAATTACAGACAACCACTAACAGCAAGAAACTTATTTCCATAAATAAGGTAAACTGTCTTTATCCAATCTGATCAAACCTCTGAGTATAACAGGAATATTAGAATTATCAATGCAGGTTAAAATAGCTAAACCATCCCCCAACCGAGCTAAGAAATCAGCACAAGCATTTCCTTCTCTCCCAATATGAGAAATCACATAATCCATATGAGAAAGCATACCTTTAATCTCCCTAAGAGTATAAAAATTTTAAGCATTACCATTATTTTCAGGATTAAGAAAATGTAAAACTAATAAAGCATCTTCTTCAATCCAAACCATTAAAATTCCCATCGACAGAGCAATTTTAAATGCCTGAAACAAAGCTATTAGCTCAGCGTAAGGGACACTACATCAAGAGAGAGGACCAGCAAAACCACAAACCATATTACCTTCAGCATTTCTTAAAATGCCTCCGCAACCCCATTTATTAGAAGCCATAGAACCATCAGTATTGATTTTAATAACCTTATCTTTAGGCTTAATCCATTTCACGAACTTAGGAACAGCCTCCTCTTTATTCTCCTCACAAATAATACCCAGCTTTTTAATAACCAATTTGAAACCACGGAAATGACTATTTTTAAAAAGATTAGCTTTGTACAAACTATTAATTTTTTCTGTAGTTCTAGCAATAATATTTTTATGATTCATAGCAATATTTCTATACTTAGCATCATTTCTTTCCAACCACATAAACCAAATGATAGTAACAACCATCACAATTTTAATGTGACCTCTATTGCAATTGTGTAAGATAGCAGTAAGAAAATGATTAAAAGTAAGATACCCAGAAAAGTAATTGGTATTGAAAAAATTATCATACCAATTCCAAACTTTAGCAGCAATAGCCCCATTGATGAAAACATGATTAAGACTTTCAATATGAAAACAACAATGCCATTTAGAAGGAAGATTAAAACCCTTTCTCCAAAGAATACTATCAACAGGAATGTATTTTCTAAGAATTCTCCAAACAAGAACCGAATAAGAAGTAGGAATATTATTGCTCCAGATCCTATCATAAACAACCGAAACATCACCTTTTTCCCTGATAAAATGCCAAACATTTTTAAAAATAAAAGAACCATTGAAAGACAGATTAAATAAAATCTGATCCTCAAGATTAGTATCAAAACTAGCATCTTTAATTTGTTACCAATCTCGGCAGGGACTAAATTAAGTATAGTATTCATGTTCCAACCCTCCTTACTAAAAAATTTATTCACTTTCTCAATAGAAACAGAAGAAGTAGAAAGAATATTATCAAGCGATTCCTTACTCAGCCATTTATCTTTCCAGAAACAAGAATTACCATAATTTAAGCCCCAAGAAATAAGGGGTTCCATATTATGCTTAACAGCACACATTCTTTTCCAAATAGCAGAGTCACCCTGTTTATAAGAACAAAAAGAAACATGCTTATCTTTACAATACTTGAAATTCATAAATCTAGCCCACAAGCTTTCATTTTTTCTAAGGTTCCACAACATTTTAAAAGAAGAAGCAGTAATGGAATCCTCAATGTTTTTGCACTCCAAACCTCCTTCATTTAAAGGCCCACAAAGCTTAATCCAAGTAGACCAATGCATTCTATGAATGTTCTCACAGGAGCCCCAAAAAAATTTCTTTAAAATTCTTTCCAATCTCCTAACAATAGAAATATTGGGTTTAATAACTTGCAATAAATGGAATTCCATAGAATTTAAAGTGCTCTTGAGAATAATTAACCTACCACCATAAGAAAGAAAGTGATATTCCCAAGAGGAAATCTTACATTGAATCTTCTTAATGATCTCATCAAACAAATGAGATTTCTTGAGCCCTCTAAAGATAGGATCCCCTAAGTACTTAAAAGGCAAAGAATTATGCTCAATCCAATTGTAAGCAATGATTCTATTAATATTAGTTCTAGTAATACATTTGGAAGTGAAAAAAGCACATTTAGAAGTATTAAAAGAGAGACCACTTTCTAAAGAAAAAAGATCCAAAAAATTCTTAAATCTTTTAACATGATTATAACTACCATTAGCAAAAATGATGAAATCATCCACAAAACTAAGGTGGGAGATCGGGAGACCTTTTTTAGATCTATAATACATACTAGGATAATTTTCAAAAAGAGCATTAATACTTCTAGAAAAATATTCCATAGCAATGATGAAAAGGGAAGGAGACAAGGGATCACCTTGTCTAATCCCTTGAAAGGAATAAAAAAACTCATTAGAATACCCATTAAGAATAACAGAAAACCAAACATTCTCAATAGAATTCTTTATGATCTTTATAAACAATTTCGAAAAACTAAATAAGACTAAAATATCATATAAGAAATCCCAAGACAAGTTATCAAAGGATTTGCAAATATCCAGCTTTATCAGTAAAATACCACCTCTAGTTTTCAAATTCAAATCATGCACTAATTCTTGGGTAAGTAAAATGTTGTCAGAAATAAGTATACCTTTAACAAATGCAGATTGATTAGGAGAAATAATATTAGGAAGCAAAGATCCTAATCTGCGAGCATAATCTTTGAGGTAAGCTTATTAAAAAAAGAACAAAGAGTAATGGGTCTAAAATCACTCCAATGTTCAGGATTATCCTTTTTCGGAATAAGAACATTTGTCGTGGAAGTAAAAAATCTCGGCATGCTATTACCCTCAAAATAATCAACAACAACAGCAATTAAATCATTTTTAATGATATGCCAACATTTTGGGAAGAAAATAGAAGTATAACCATCAGTACTAGTTGTCGAATTAGCATTTATAGACATAACAGCCAAATAAATTTCATTCTCCATAGGAGCAACCGTAAGGGAAAGGTTATCTTCATCAGAAATAGTATTTTCAATAAGATGAGAGTTAACCATAGGAATAATATCAATTTTCATACCCAGCATATTGGTAAAGTATCTGATAACTGAGTCATGAAGCATAACCTCCTCAAATCTAATTACCATTTTCATCCTTGACTTTATTAATAAAGTTCAGACTTTTTTTTTTATTCACCAGAGCATGGAAATACTTAGTATTTCTATCTCGTTCATTTAAGTGCTTAGCTGAAGCTTTTTGTCTCCAAAAGGTTTCTTCCATATCCTGAAACTTAATCAACTTTTCCTTAGTGTCATTGAGCTGCTTAGTTACTAGAGGGTCAGAACTCAACAAATTTTCCAGATAACAAACCCTCTCTTCCAACTCTTTAATGTTAGCAAAAATATTTTTAACATGGTGTTTATTCCACCAATTTAAACTTTGGTTTAGCCTTTTTATTTTTAGCCAAAATCTAATCATTCCTTTAACCGATGTATCAGGAGCAATGCAATTATTCCAGTTGGAAGAAACCAACTGAAAAAAGTCTGAATGTTGTAGCCACAAATTCTGAAATCTAAAAAAACTCGTACCTTTGATGTTAGTATCATTGTTCTTGATAGAGATAAGAAGGGGGCAATGGTCTAAGAGAGACCTGAACAAATGCTCAACCACAGTTAAAGGCCAATTAGAAATCCAATGTTGATTAAAAAGAATTCTATCCAGCCTTTGCCACAGCCGGTTATTATTCCAAGTGTAATTGGACCCAGTAAAACCTATATCCACTAAAGCACAATCGTTAATCATATTAGCAAACTCATCCATAGAGTTTGTGTTAGGGGCAGCCCCACCATGTCTTTCATTCGCATTCAGGATAATGTTAAAATCCCCTCCCACAAACCACGTAACATTAACTGAAGAAGCAAAATTGGTTAAAGAGTTCCAAAGAGTTCTTCTATCACATCTATTGCAGGCAGCATACACAAGAGAACCTTTCACATTCCAGTTAAAATAAGAAATAGAAACATTAACAACTTGATTAAGATCATCAATAAATTTTAAAGTAACATTATCCGACCAAAATAGCCAGATTTTGTTAGTAGTATTAGCAAAATACTTATTAAAACCAAGCATTCTACTGACATGATCAATATTATTCACATTTATCATAGGTTCTAGAATAACCAGAAAAGCAAGTTTATGAATACGAACTAAATTACGAATCCTATTCTTAAGAGAGGGGGGTCCAATCCCTCTAACATTCCAAATCATGAAATTAATCATTATGAAAAGATAAGGATTTAGTCATAGATTTAGCAGCTTTCCCATATTTAGTATTTTTATTTTTATTTTTCTTATTTTTATATCTAGTATTGTAAACATAATTAACAGTTTTACCCTTTTCCACATACTCACTGAATGCGGGATCCACATAAGCCAAGGAATTATTGAGAGATAATTCTTCAATTTCAAGTTCAAGAAGCAGCTCGCCCTCCTCTAATTCCCTTCCCTCCAGGACAGAAACATTTTCCGATGTGGCCATCGATTTCCCTTTGGTTCCACAACTCTCCTTTATCTGCAAAGACTCATAAGAAACTTTAGTCGAGTTATTTAAATCAAACATAACATCAGTATATTCCTGATAATCACTATCAGTGTTAGTAGTATGTTCCAAGATAGAAAAATTATTGGAAATAGCAGTTTTTGGCATTTCTTTATAGAGAACAATATCCCATTGCTTATTTTCTATAACATCTTCCTTTAAAACTTCCCTATGTTCCTTAGAAATAGCCTTCCAAACTACTTTCATAGTTTTAGTTTCCTGAATTTTACCTTGTGTAGGTAAATCCTGCATAACCGGATGCACCCCTTTTTCCTCTCCACCATTTTCTCGATTACCATTATTCTGAGTCTTATTTTTCAGAGAAGGATTAAGGATAAAACAATTACTAGTATCATGGCCATGCAACTTACAGTGGGAACAAAAAATAGGAAAGATTTCTATTTCAACTTTTTGAGTATAACCATTAATTTCTGATCCAAGCCATATTTCCTTAGGACATTCTTTCGTGATATCCATTTCAACCAAAATTCTAGCCACAGAAGGGCGAGATCTATTAGCTGTAGCCTGATCCACTTGTAAAGGTCTACCAAAAATAGACCCAATCGCTTGCAGAACAGTATGATTATAAAAATGTATACGAAGATTAGGTAAAGAAATCCAGGCCGGACAGATAGGAGATTCAGAGTTTATGTCAAAATCCGGAGACCATTTCAGAAGTCTCATTTGAAAATTTCTAACATAGTAAGATCTCCTCAAGAAAATTCTCGTATGGTCAGTATCATTAGAAAGATTTATGAAAACATGGCGAGGATCTAAAAGGCTCACAGTGAAAGAACCCGAAAGTTTTAGACTCTGAAAAAAACTGTGAATATCTTCCATAGCCGGCCTCTTAAAAGCAAATTTACCCACAAGTGCAAATTTAAAAGGCTCCGCTAGTTTTAAAATATCTTCATCAGAAACCATGATCACAGGTAACCCCATGAAAGAAGAAGTAGAAATTTTTAAACCCATATTTTCCTTCTCAGAAACCCCAGATAAAACTTCTTTGAGGGATTTAGGAAAAGATTTTCTAATCAAAGTTTTAGGGTTAGAAGTCATACTCACAGATTTCTCCATATTTTTCCCACCATCAGTTTCTAAAAGCTTAGATTTCTCTTTTTCTGACTCCTTGATGTTCCGATCATCCTCCTTATCCAAGATCCGAGAAGGATCTAACTCACAGTCGGTTTCCATGAAACCCTAGCCAGACCAGAAACAAATAAAAACACCAAAATACTAAAACAAAACAGTGAGTATATACAAAGATCTTAAGGAAGAACACTATGAACACGAGATCAAGCAAGATCTCAAGCAAAAACCACTCCACATCACAGCAGAAACGCAATCGCCTCTAAAGCGCCTTCAGGTCGCCTTCAAGAGAAGGATCTCAAACTTCTTCTCTTTTTTTTTCGAATTTTTTTTACTCTTTTTCTAATTCAATATACTTCTTATTTAATGCATCAAACTCATCAGGCAGGGATACGTGATCTCTATCTAAATCAAATTGATCTTTAACTGAATTAGCATGCTTAGTTTGTAAAGTATTAAATTCAAAGTTAAGATTAACATGCATTTTGTTTAACTTTCTACACGAATCATGGATTTTTTCAGAAATAAGCAACAATTCTTCATATGAAAGTTGACATACCTCATCTTGATCTGATTGATCAAGATTATCATTAGCCATTATGCATAAATTCATTACCTCCTCCTCTGCTTCTTCTTTTGATGATTCTGAGGCACAGTCAACCCAAAATATCTTTTATGTTTTCAACTTTTCTTTCATATATTTTGGCTTCTCCTTGCCCATCTCCTTAGTTGAATGGATCTTTATGTTGGGGCAATCAACTTGGAGCTGACCTGGTTTTCTGCACTCAAAGCAAATTGTGTGAGATGAAACTTTACTATTCTTTGAGCTTTTACCTTTGTTCAGTTATTCTTATGACACCTTTTTTTTTTTAAGAAAATTCTTGAATTATCAGGTCATCAAGGTTATATCGTCATCTTCCTCCACTACAAAACTTTCACTTTCTGAGTTGTTTACTTTTATAGCCACCTTACGCTCCTTCTTCTTCTCTCCTATATCATTTTGTCCTTCACTCACTCCATGGTCGTATGCAATGAGAGATCCAAGTAAATTATTAATTGAATAAATATTTAAATTTTTAGAATCACTAATTACTGTGATTTTAGCATCATAAGAACTCGATAAGCATCTCAAAACTTTATTGATTTTTTTAGAATTAGAAATCTCTCTACAGAGTGCATGCAAGAATGTCACTATCTGGGTGAACCTAATGTATATGTCAGATATAGTTTTGCTAGGTTTCATGCGGAAGAGTTCATTATCATGCAATAAAATATTTAATCTAGATTGTTTAACCACACTAGTTCCTTTTTATGTGATACATAGTCTATCCCATCAAGAAGCTCCCTCTTAAGAGTTCCCTTCCTTTGTCATATTTCTCTATCTCTTTTTTAAAGGACAAAAGCATTACTTAAATATCAGGATCCATGAAACCCTAAGATTTTCAATTTAGTTGTTTCTATTCTTACAGTATGATTACAGATCTTATAGTACAATCAATTCAAAATAGCTTTCATCCTGGTACGAAGGAGTATGAATAGGCAACAATTTTGAAATACATCATACAGTATGATATAAATATCATCCAATATAATATACTATATTTCTCTTGTTTATTTAGGATGAATGCTAGGATGACCAAAAAATTTCTCTAATCATCATCTAGTATGATCCAACTTGTACAATATGTTCAGTTAAAATATTTAGGTCATCTGGTACGATGTATACATCACCCAGTATGATTAGTTCAACAATTAAGGGATCATCTGATACTATCTTCGGGATGACAAAAAAATAGCCTCAATTTGTCATACGGTACGAAACAGGTCATATAGTATAATCACCAATCATTATCTAAGCCTTGATTTAATTGATTAATCATGGGGGTTAATTTTAGCAAGTATTTAAACATTTATACAGTATGAGCAGTTCAAAATTTAATGATATAAAAACATGCTTAAATTGATCTAGCAATTAGGGTTTTAGATTGAAAATGAATCATATAGTGCGACGGTTATCATATAGTATGATTAGTTTACAAAAAATAGCTGTTGAGCCATAGTGTTTCGTACACTATGATTTAAAATCATACAGTATGATCTAAAGAAAAAAAAAATTTCTTAAAAAAACTCTCCCCCTATGTGTGTGCATGGTTACTCAGTTTGCATACACGTTTTATGACCAAACTCAAGAAACAAAGAAAAAATAAAAAATAAAAAATATGAAGTTATAGACTCCTTCACATCCTATTCTACCAAATCTCGAGTCTTCTGTTATCTTGAGCAGTATGTGATCTCCTTGAAATGTTAGTACTCATAGATAAAAGTAACATTCAAAATATTCAATGAATAATAAGATAATTCAATCAACATTATTTATCATCATCAAAATCTCAGACTAGGGGTCATAAACCGCAATAGGGTTTTTATAGAGCACAACATATCATATAGTATGAACTAAATCATATAGTATCAAATAAAGTCATACAGTATAAAGCCAATATCGTACAATATAATTTACTTAAAAAAATACTCTCTCAAAAAGCAATTTTCCCTCTTCCCCTATGTATGTGCAAGGTTACTCAACAATTATATTCATCCAATTACATGATTCTTGAAAGAAATAAAATAGAGCAAATTAAAAAATATATATTGTAACCCTAGTCTACCTAGTCTTTGAGCTGATAAAAATGTTAAGTGGATGGTGGACTAATTTCCTGAAACTTTAATACAAAAAAAATAAAACAAAATATCACAGAATTAGGAGAAAGCAATAATAAACATAATATTTTTTTGTTATCATCAAAATCATAGTGCTTGGATCATATTTGTAATAATCTCCCTTTTTTATGATGGCAAACATTGTTGTTTTTGGATTTTCAAAAAGTTACTTTCCTCTAAATTCCCCTTTATATGATATCCAAAAAAAAGAAAAAAGAGTGCAAATAAAATCTTTTTTTAATATGTAAATAATAACAAATAGCCAAATATTAGTCCCCTTTTGACATCACAAAAAGGAAGAAAAATACGAAACAACGGAACATAAGAACCAATGACACATAAATACAAATACTTCTTAAAACAAAGAAGAATAAACATAAAGAGTATGAACACAAAAAAAATATGATAAAAACAATCAAAAGAAAAATAAAAAAATAAGAATAATAAATTTACTCCAGTAATGATAAATTTACCTCATTATTAAAAGAAATCAGCAAGAAATGAATTGACCCACTAAAATTTAAAAAAGGTTAGAAAATATTCTTGTCAACCCTATCTCAGACTCCTTACAGGTCAAAATCCTTTATGAACAAAAATCTAATTCATAAAAGAAATTAAATAAGAAAAGTGATCTTTTCAAACTTCGATTCAAAAAAATATCGAATAGAAAATTTTTGCAAAATAATCAATACGAGAATCATGATTTTGAAATTTTAGTGTTAGAGATATACTTTAGCACGGGGAGTCTTCTAAGATTTTAAGGAATTGAAAGAAAGACATGCTAACGCATAGTGGGCTCATTTTGTACCTCTTTTATCAGTTTTTGGTGCACATTACACATATTTTGATTTTTTGATGAACTTTGTGCATCTTGTAATTCTTTGGTGGTCATTGCACATCTTTTACATTTTGTGCCTCTTTTTATTTTTATATATTTGCTTCCTTTGTAAATCTAAAAAACTCAGTTATGAGATTATCTTCCAAATATAAGAGATGACAAGCTTACCTTTTTATAAAAGGAAGAATAAATAACAAAACAGATTCCTATCCATATGATAAATGCAAACAACTTGATTAAGAAAACTTGAAAGAGATTCATTGACTTTGAACATAATTCATATTTGATAAATTATTGTAGGAAGATAAAATAGATCTCTGTTTCAAAGTATAACATTTAATTTGAAATAGATTTTGATTCAAGAAAAAAATGTACAACTAAAGGAGTTAGAGGAAGACAAATAGCCATCAATGTTTCTTCCTTTAACTATTTTTTGGGGAGCCAATCACTACTTACATACTTTTAAAGAAAAATAAATTAAAAATTTCATAAATAAATCAACAACAGAAGTGAATAGAGATCTGATTCTTAAAGTACTAAAGGAAAAAAATAGAAAAACTAAAACCTAAAATAAAAACTCATAATAAAAAACTTACATACAAATAAAACAAACAAAAAGAGAAACATGACACATCAATTTGAAGCATGAATGTATATCTCACCTAATCTGGTTCTTAAGGTGCTAAAGGTTTTAAAGGCCAGTGATTTTGTAAAGATATCAGTAAGTTGATTTTTAGTGGCTACATGGTGTAGCTCTTTTTCTCCTTTGGTAATATGGTCCCTAATGAAATAGTGCCTTATGTATATGTAGTTTATCCTAGAGTGTTAGATTGAATTCTTTGATATGCTTATGGCACTAGTGTTATCTCATAAGATTTGAATGGTGCCTACAGGTAATCCTAAATCCAGTATCTATTTCTTTAACTAAAGAACCTGGGCCATATAACTTCCGAAGGCTATGTATTCAACTTTAGTAGTGGACATAGCAATTGAGTTCTATTTTCTACTAAAGCAGGAGACTAAGGACAGTCCTATGAATTGAAATATTTTAGAAGTTCTTTTCCTATCAAATCTACATCCTATAAAATTTGAATCATAATATACTATTATTTCAAAGGAAGTGTTATGCTTAGGATATCAGATTCCTATGTTTTAAGTTCCTAAGAGATATCTAAGGATTCTCTTTGTTACAGTCAAGTGTGACTGCTTTGGATCAATCTAAAATCTAGCATATAAGTAAACACTAAAAATAATATTAGGTTTATTAGTAGTCAAGTAAAGAAATGATTAAATTATTTCATTATTTTTCTTTTGGTTAACTCATTTTCCATTTGAATCCTTATCTAATGTAATATTAAAACTCATGGGAGTGTTTATTGCTTAGCTTTGTCCATTTTAAATTTCTTAACGATGTCCTTAATATATTTTGATTCCATAAGGAAAATTTCATCATCATTCATCTTTATACTAAATCCATGAAAGTACGTCAGTTCTCCCATGATACTCATCTCAAACTCCTTACTCATTATTTCTGAAAATTAATCACATA